TCCTGCATTCGCATGATAAAGCAGCTAAATAAACAATAGTCAGTTTCAAACTGGTTTGTCATTTTAATTAACAGTTCAACTAAGTTTTTAAAATAATTATGACGTCATTAATTAATCTCACCTTGCAATTAAATTGTCCCACCAGTTCTATGATATACAGAGGTATCCAGCAATGACACAAGATCAAAGATGGCGCGTGTTTCTAATGCAGTCAATGTGAATTTTTTTCTAAGTTTTTCTGCTGTTATTATCGTTATCATTAAGATATGAAAAAATGTTTTTAGGGACATAGCTTCAATATTAATTATTTAAATGTATATGTAATGTGATTCACTAAGTTCACATGAATCCCTTGATGTAACAACTATCGGCTGTGTCCTTCTGCTTATTTGTATAATTAGTCCCTCCACAATTTAATATGCCTTCAATTTGGCGCTTCGTTTATTTTGCTTGTCTTCTTGTAATTAATTTTTGAGCCTATTCAACAGATTTTTTCATTACAACATTCATCAAAACTAATAAGACAATAATGCTAAAAGAAATAAGCAACATTGTTCTGTTCCAACAGCAACGATCCAATCATAGTGACAATGATGTTCAGCTCAATTAGACACTGGCATGAACTGTGATCAAGTCTATCCTAAAAAGGAGTTGTGTATAAATGGTGATTTTAACTTTAAAGAATTCAAAAATCAATTTTATTATTACGATAATGCATTGCAAGGTTACAAACACAATAAAGTGCTACTTTACCATTTTCAATTCCTCTATCGCTCTCAGGAGTATCTAGTGTTGTTTTAGTTAACAATAAATAAAACTAAAACATATTTCATTGACCTGTTTTTCTTACGTAAAACTAAAACTTAAGTTCAAATTTATCAGTGCTTATAACTAAAACTAAAACTTCAGTTGTGCGTTACATTAAATAAAAGTGAAACCAAAATTGCTCACTTGTAGCAAATTAAAATAATTGCAGTATTAAGAGGTGCAACCCACCACTGTAGTGACTGAATGGAGAGAGCTTGAACTTCGTATTTTGTGAATATTGATTTATTGTAAAAAAGGCTAAAATCTCTGACAAAAATGAAAAGAGCATACACTTATATACAAATAGTATTACATCATATTACATCACAATGACAAAACATTATACAACAGTCAGAATCAGTATGCGTGAACTGATAAGCCTAGTAAATCATAAACATAAGAGCTACATGAAAAGAAATAACATCGTAAAGCAATGCAAGAATAATAGTAATTAATAATAGTAATAATAATAATTGTAACAACAATAGTAGTAGTAATAATCACAAAAACAATAATAATAATACTAGAAATAACTGTAATCAAAATGCCTTAGAAAATAATAATAGGAATGAATACCAAAATAATATATCAATATATAACACCCCTCCCCTCTTAAGTTAACATACATGCGTCCCATGATCAGTAGTCATCCTTGAACGAGTCGATCAACAAATTGGTGGGGCCAAAGGAGGCGGAGTAGGAGGTGGAGGCAGGTTAGGAATTGATGGAGTGAAATCATCATCCCAATCACTGTCCTCCGGAAGGGTATCTGGCTAAGATTTTTCAGTGTACCTTCTTCTGAGCTGATCAGCATGTCTTTTAAGCACTAAACCATTCATAGTTTCAACATGGTAAGACAATGGTCCAGTGACCTTACAGACAACCACAGGAATCCATAATAGCTTCCCAGAGTAGTTCCTTGCAAACAGCTTCTCATGTAGCTTAAATGATCTTGCATTGCTTTTAGTCTTCTCTTTCTGTGAAGGTAGTGTGAAATCTGTGTGACCAGTATCTAAGACTGATCTCAATCAATGTCCCATTAAGAGTTCAGCTGGCAACAGCCCAGTAATAGATTGAGGAGTGATTCGGTAAGAGAAAAGGAATCGAGCAATTCTTTTTTGTAGTGGTCCTTCCATCTTCCTAACAGCATTCTTAAATGTCTGCACTGCTCTTTCTGCTAGACTGTTAGACCTCAGATAGTAAGGAGCAGTTAGTGAATAGCGATTACCATTGAGAGACATGAATTTCTTAATTTCTTGACTAGTAAATGAAGGTCCATTATCAGAGACCAACTGATGAGGAAGACCATGAGTAGAGAATATGTGATGAAGGACTTTGATAGTCGCTTCAGAGGAAGTAGAGGGTACAATGCATACTTCTAACCAGCGAGAGTGAGCATCTACCAGAATGAGGAAGTAGTGTCCCAGGAAAGGACCAGCATGGTCGATATGAAGTCGTGTCCATGGAGACTTTGGAACTTCCGATGGGTGTACAGGAGTTTGAGGGGGAGAGCACTGTTTTCTTGGCATGCCTTACATTTCTTTACTAGATCTCCAATTGCCTTGTCTAATCCAGGCCACCAGAAATAGCAGCGGGCTAGACTCGTCATTTTTGACATTCCCTGATGCGCTTCATGTAATTGAAGCAGAATTGCTGACTGACCATGGGATGGAACAATCACTCTTGAACCTCGAAGGAGACATCCATTA